AATATCTCTAGTCAGTAGAGAGTCTGGTATATCAGTGTTGTAAATTTGTTTTAGAGTGGTATTCTTTAGTATATTACAGAGCCATTTTATTATTTCTAGCTCTCTTAGAGTTTTTTAAACTAGGAATGGAAGTTGACTTTAGCAAATGGTTTTCTATCATCTATTGAAATAATTATATAGGATTTTTCTTTTTTATTTACTTTTTCTTTTTTATATACTAACATGCATAGAGCTATATCCTATTAATAAATGTACTAATATTAAACCATCATTTATTTTAGGAATACATCCAACCAGGCCATTGTTAATTATTCTTTTGATTTTTTCACTAAGTTATATGAGTATTTTATATAGGCTACTTACATCCTCTTCTGTATATGTGATTGGTTATACAGTGGTCCCTCTTATCCATGGTTTTGCTTTCTGCACTTTCAGTTATTCACAGTACAGTACAATAAGCTATTTTGAGAGAGAACAAGAGAAAGAATGAGTGAGAGCACCCATTTGTATTGTCTTTATTACAGTATATTGTTCTACTTGTTCTATTTTATTTTTTGTTTTTGTGGCTAATCTCTTACTGTGCCTAATTTATAAATTAAACTTTATCATAGGTATGTATGTATGGGAGGCAACATAGTATTTATAGGGTTCAATATTATCTGCAGTTTCAGACAGCGACAAAGAGCCTTGGAACATATTCTCTGTAAATAACAGGAGACTACTGTAATTTTCTTTCTTATATTGCTATTGTCGGATCCTAGTGTCAGATTTTTGCCGTATTTATTAAATGAATTAAGTAGATTTTTTGATATGGGGATTACTAGTCTTTGGAAGTTTAAAATAAACATTTTATAAAACTCCCTGGACCCAGAGCCTTTGGGGGAAGGTAAATCATTAACATTTCCAAACCTTAATTCAGGTTTTTATAAATGTATTAGAGTCCATTTTATTTCCAGATAATTATTAGTTCACTGACATTTAAATATATCTAATGTTATTTATGATATTTTAATTAAAATATGTACTTTAGTTGTCTTAGTCCATTTCTCATTATTTAATTTGCTTATTTAAATACTTCTCTCTTTTGTTCTCAAAATTGTTAGGCTTATCTATATTTCTTAAGAGAAACATCTCTCAGATTTTTTCTTTTCACTTATTTTTGTTTCCTAATTAGATGTTTTGCTTTCATCTTTAAAAGACCCATAATTTCTTTGTTTCACAAGTAATACATGCCCCTCGTAGAAAAACTGAAAATGTTTTTTCAGTTTTTCTGAATGTAAAACAAGCTAAATAAAAAGATAATGTAAAACAAGCTAAATAAAAAGTCATCTATAATCTCATCATTCAGAAATAAACACTATTATACTTTTTTTTTTTAAATTTTTTGAGACAGAGTCTCACTCTGTTGCCTGGGCTGGAGCACAGTGGCATGATCTTGACTCACTGCAACCTCTGCCTCCCGGGTTCAAACGATTTCCTGCCTCAGCCTCCCGAGTAGCTGGGATTACGGATGCATGCCACCACGCCCGGCTAATTTCTGTATTTTTAGTAGAGATCCAGTTTCTCCATGTTGGCCAGGCTGACCTTGAACTCCTGACCTCAAGTGATCCACCTGCCTTGGCCTCCCAAAGTGCTGGGATTACAGGCGTGAGCCACTGTGCCCAGCCTATTAACATTTTGGTGTATGTTCTTCCAAGCTTCTGCCACTTATTAGCTGTGTGACCTTGGGCAAATTCTTTAATTTCCCTTATCTTAAATCTCACAAAGTGGAGAAAGTAATAGAATGGCTACATAAGTTTATTATAACCATAAATAAATCAGCATATGTGAAATGCTTAAACAGTGCCTGGTATATAATGTGCACTTAATAAATGTTAGTTTTTTTTTATTTCTATGCTTACATAGATATGTTTTATAAAATGGCTTCATACAATATGCTATTGTTAACCTGTTGTCTTTCAACTTACAAAATATTGTGAACATTTTCATGTCATTAGCTATGCCACTATCATTGTTCATAATAGCACTTATTTATTCATTTATTTGCGATGGAATCTCGCTCTGTTGCCCAGGCTGGAGTGCAGTGGTGCAATCTTGGCTCCACCTCCTGAGTTCAAGCGATTCTCCTGCCACAGCCTCTGGAATTACAGGCGCCTGCCACCATGCCTGGTTAATTTTTGTATTTTTAGTAGAGATGGGGTTTCACCATGTTGGCCAGGCTGGTCTTGAACTCCTGACCTCAACTGAT